TTTCGAATATATTCGATTATTCGATTATTCAAAAAAAATTTCGAATATTCCAAAGTATAATACACAGCAGAGAAGACATTTCTTCACAGAATCAGTTCAGTGACACTAGTGGTAGATTTATGCTCATATCTATTGTTTCCTACATATTCAAGAAGGTTAGCACACTTCAGCAAGCATGGTTGAGTAAGCGTAGCGCTGCGGAAGCGGCAGTCAGACTAGTAGATGAACACAGTATCACCACAATTTATCAGTCAAAACAAGGCACGATGATAACGAGATCAAGTGCGAGTACAAACTGTGCGGTAGAATGGAGATACTGGTTGATCGCATGAGAGGACCATTGAAGACACAAAGACCAACAGAGTTCAGGCCACAAGACTAGAATTGCCGTATTACGGAATGAGTATAAACCTCATACCCGTAACAGCTAACCTTATTCTCATAGCATACTTTATCTATGCTTTACATCTTCTTCTCCTACATAGCTACTTCACCTGCACATTCTCATGTGCCTACGTTTACAGCTGACTTTTTCATCCTCTCTCCCTTACAGTTAGTGCTGTTTGGCTTTGACTTAACGCCGTATTATCTGTTGTGCTCCCTTCATTCCTTTACTTTTATTTACGCACAGAGACACTGATTCGAATTAATGCATACATATTCTTGGTGTTTCATTAGTCATATAAATGTTGGAGGCACATTGTTTACGTCAAATACGCTATGAGGTGGTGCTCGCGTCTGATCGCACAGCGCAAATTCGTACACAAGGGTCCACATAAAGTAACGTATGATTTGTAAAGCGGGTACAAAGTAAAACCCAGCAGCCGAAAAAGCTTGAAATCTCTCGAGAAGTAAAGTAAGCGCTACAACCTCTGCCGTAAGTTTCTTTCACTTAGGTTTCGCCGTGACGCATGAGGTTTTTGAATACGCATTTGCTTAATTCCCGCTAATTTGTTTTGCAGTAGTTTTGCTTCAAAGGTGACATCCATGCAAATTTTACAGGTTATCGCACGTAAAATTCTAACAAATACATCTCCCAAAGCAAAAGCAAATGCTGCATTCCGGCTGAGATATTGGTCCTCAAACCAAGACTAACCATGCAACCCTATTTGGTGGACGACTCGCATTAGATTGCACGCTAGTGCTTGTGGACCCATTGCATTTGTATAAACCCCGCGCAAACCCATGCAAGCCTATGCAAGTGGTCCGCAGCATGCCGAAATGTCAAGACCAATGTCTCCAAACTTGGCGGCATGTTCCACTTTTCGCGTTGAAAATGAAGGGTTTGGGAATGTCTTTTTCGCCATTTTTGCTCTTCAGAAAGATTTTCTAGATCAACGCCTCATATACCCCAATTAAGCAAAAAGAATAGAGTCTACTCTTATCAAAAAAATCCTGAGAAAATAAGACTTTTTTAAAAAAAACTAAAGGAAATTGGTTTTGTGGTTAAACAAATCGAAAGATCGATTTGTGTTGTTCTCGCCAAATCGTACTCACATAGAGACATCATTACAAACTTAGTTCGCACAAAAAGAGCATTTTTGAAAATGCCAAATTACTTTCTCTGCGTAGATTGCATTTTTTCAGATAGGGGTTCTCAACTCAAATTAAAAATGAGTAATTTTCTTCTTCGTCTGCTTCACCTTTATATTTTTTCCATGTACTTATTGAGATTACACTTGAAACAAAGGTCTTTCCCAAACAAATACACTTACTTGTTTTCAATTTTACGAACATTTACGATTGATGGTTGATTTCTTTCAATTCTCCTGCTTGAGTCTCTAAGGTTTTTGCAAATAAGAAACCCTAAAGAGATTTACTAAATGGCGGTAACAATGTTGCAAAAGTATATAACTGCCAACATTCCTCACCACCATATATTTTGCAAGCAAAATTACTGTTTTGTTACCCCTGAAAAGGCAGTTTTATGAACACATCTATAATTGCCTGTGTAGTCACTGTTTTCTAACTGAGTTGAGACTGCCGTCACACATAATGGCTACCTTCAGATTCAGTTTTCCATTTTACTGATAGGAATACGCCAGTTTCAGTGACACAACACAATACGATGCGAGCTGAGACTCTTATATACATTCTAAACATAGCTCTAAATGCTGCCATCATCCTTCTCGACATTTTTCTCATCTACATCACGCTAAGTGGGAAGGATTTGCGAAAAAATCCAGTGCTTATGCTTGTCCTCATGGCCATGCTTCTGGATGTCGGCGCATTTCTTAATACTATTGCCCATGACGTGCCCAGTTATATCCTAGAAAGAGACTTGAGCAGTGAGTTTACCACCAGTTTACCAACATATTGAGTTTTTTCGTCATACGGAATGGCTCAGTTCAGAAACTGTATAGGATACACTAAGCGCACGATCGTTCCTAGCAAGTAAACTGGGTCTTGTGTTGCTTCTTCTGAACATGAGAAAGGCTCCGAAGGGCCAGGGCAATCTGATGCCTATTTACGATTTACGTCATTTTAAGCTACGCTTACGACTGATGCAGCTACCATAATATTGAGT